ATTGAATAAATACACCACCAAGCTTGTGGATTTGGCACAGGACTTACTCTTATCTATTGAGCCTCACTCAACAATAAATGTCTTACCCTTACAAAATCTCTCACAAAAATAAGGAATAAGAATAAGTGGTACTTGAATCCATTTTTACAATAATTCTCTCACAAAGAGTAGATATGAAAGTGTAAGAACAAAGGCTAGACTTAGATCTGAAAGTGAAAGAGCAGAATACAATGTACTCAGAATTTTGGAGCTTAAGAAAATTTTCTCTTCAAGTTCTTGATTTTTTCTCCACACACAACACTTCTATTTATACACAAAAATATACCCGTTGGACGCTCCTTGCTAACGTCATGGCTTACATAAGCACGCTTCTGATGTCATGGCTTACAGAAGTACGCTCTTGATGTCATGGCTTACATAAGCACACTCCTTGATTTTAAATAATCAGCAAATGTTAATAATTAAAAAGATAAAAGTAAGACTAATTTTTTCTTTTCCTTTTGTTTATTTTTTTCAAACATGGAGCCACCGTTTTTATAGACAATTTAATACAAAATTTACAACTTTTAAACAAACAAATTATTTGCTCCATCTATATATATATATATATATAACTCCATCTTTTTCTTTTTGTTTGATTATAATATGATATAATCAATTTAGTGTAGTGTGATATGATATAATCAATGAAGTGTAAAAAGTTTAATAGCGCACGTGATGTATTCTATTTATATTATATGCATTATATATACAATGTTCTAATCAAATATTTGCATACAGAAAAATCTCTTTAATAATATTTATGATGGATCTGAAAATATATGCCCTATTTAAAATATTGTATATGTTGTAGAGATTTTAAACTAAATGTATCCTATCACTACACATTTGGATATATCACTTTTGTCAAAAAAAGACAACTCATTAATATCTATTTGTCAAGATAATACAACCAATCAATCATTTTTGTCAAAATAATATAATTAATCAATTTTAATTTTGTCAAAAAATGAATAGTGATCAGTTTAAATTTTCAAAAAGTGAATAGTAAAGTTTTCAAAAATATTTTTATTATAATAGAAAAGGGGGTTGGAGATGGAAGGTTTCCAAGAGAGAGAGGGAGAGGTGAGGTTTTACACGCACTAAGATTATGTTTGGGAACCTAGGAGAGAAAAGAAAAGAAATGATTAGTTAAGTTATGAGAGAAAAGAAAAGAAAAGAAATTATTGTGTTGTGATTTCTCTCATTTTTATTTGGATAAGAAAGAAATAAAAGAAAAGAAATGATTGTAATTTCTCTCATTTTTGTTTATTTAGATTTCATTAAGAGAAAAGATAAGAAATTATTTTATGTTATATTACCAAAATAACCTTTTTATATTTTCAATCATTTTATTTCTTTTATTTTTATAAAGACAAAATTGGTATTATAAAAATAGTGGTTTCTTTTCTCTCCTAATCTCTCCACTTTTGGAAAGATTGAAAATGAGGCTTATAAGAGAAATGAGTTTCTCTCAATTTCTCTCAATTTCTTCATATTTCTCTCCACTTAAGTTATCCAAACAAGTAAAAGAAATACATATCTCTCTATTTCTTTTCTTTTCTCTCCAAATCACTCAATCCAAACATAACGTAATGTTTTTCTTCTTTATCATCTTTTCTTGGTCCATTGTGGCAGAAAGAGTTGACAGAACACTTGGTTCTTCTATCATCGCCGTTCAAAGACTGTTCCAGCGTCACCGCCACTGTCGCCTTTGTCGCCTTCGAAGAGGATGAAGTGCGTGGTGATAAAGATCTGAGAGTGATCAGTATTGTTGAGTGTAGACCGAATATGAAGGCATGAGAGAGAGAGAGAGAGAGAAAAAAAGTGAGAAGAGAGAAATCAAATGAGTGAGAGAGAGAGAGAGAGAAATCAGAGTTTGGGCGAACGTGGCCACGTTTCACGCAGACCTGGATATGAGCTTCTTTGCCCACCGAAGACTGCGACGGTGTTGGGTAGGTGGACTACGGATCGGCGGCGGTCACAAATGATAGAGGATCACCGACGTCAACTAGGCATCAAACCTTAGTTAAGAAAGAGGATCTACGCCATCCACGGCCAAAGCTCTCGATGGTGGAGGACAGAGATGGCCCAAATCTAAAATTGAAGGCGACGCGACGGTGGAGACGTTTTTGCCCATGTCAATAGAGGAAAGAGAGAGCGAGAGAGAAAGAGAGATTTTAGATATGAGGGCATTAAAAGTGAGGGAAATAAAACGGGTTTGGTGGATTTGGGGTATTTTGGCCATTTTACAAGAGTTTGTCCTCATGAACATAATATTTTAGAATATAGACTTTTGTACAAAAAAAAATTCAAACTTGAATTTATGGTTTGAGTGCCTTTTTTTTAGAGACAAATGCGATTAAATGAAAATATTATAATTATCAGATCGTCCTAAATTTTTTCATGCATAATATACATTGTGGATCTTACAAAATGAAAGGTTCAGATCATCAAAAATGAAACCTGTATGGGCTCTATGAGCCCCTCAAGTTCTTTAATATTGAGATTTCAATATGAGAGAAAACTAACTCTTTCTTATTCATAGCGTTGTAATATTTTTTTTTTTTTTTTTTTTTTTTTTTCAACTCTGTTTTTATCACTGGACGATTTTACCCTCAATTAAAATGAGAAAGGAGCTAATGAATTCCTGATATGGCAAAATTTTATCTTTTTGTATTTTAAAATAAAATATCATAATTTTTATATTACACATCTATTTTTTTATAAAATTTATAATCTTAAAATCTACTCGTCAAAATTTATTAAATAAGATCAATATTAAATATAAAATTATAACTGCATTGAATATTGCCCATACGAGAGTTAGAAATTTCTAAGTTTTGAAATTTGAAAAAATGATTTTTTCCTTCACTTATACAAACTAAGAAAGTCTTAGTTTCGTACAACTAAAAAAATTAATATTTTAAATTTATAAAATTTTATATTTAATATTAGTCTTATTTAATAAATTTCGTTGTGTATATTTTATAAATATATAATTCTATTCAAAATAAATGTGTATAATAAAAGTTTATGAAATTCTAAAATTATAAAAGAGTAGCTTGAGTTACGTGAGTAGCTTGAGTTATTTGAAAAGTTAGTTAAAAATTAATTTTTTTATTTTTATATTTTTTTATATATAAAAAATGTAAAAGATAATATAACTCAGAATAAATTAAAAGTTAAGAACTAACTTCACAAATCAACCCGAAGTTAAGTGCTCTTAAAGCATGGTTAAATGATGCCCTAAGCGAGTTGTGATTGCAACGATGAGGTGGACAATGTTATATTGGGACATGGGACGTAGTGATTAGTAGATGACATTTACATAGGATCTTTTGATAACAAGTTAAAAAACTCTTTAGCAAAAAAAATCTCTTTTAATCACGTCACTTCTCTAGTTAAAAAATTCTTTTTTATTTTTTTACACAAAAAAATTAACTTTTTTAACAAAAAAATCAACTTTTTTGTCAAAAACAAAAAAAAAAAACCTAACAAAAAAGTTAAAAAATAAAAAAAATAATTTTTTACCAACTTTTCAAAACATTCCATAATACACCTAAAACACGTACTAAGATGCACACATATTTAGGAGTAGTTTGGCATCCCCAATATAATTCATCATTTTATCTTTTTCTCATCACATCACCTCTCTACTTTTCTGCACATCTTTTCATAAAAAGACAAAAAATGCACTTTTTTAGGACACTCCAAACCAACCCTAAATAAAAATCTCCGGGGATGTCAATGTAATTTACCCTTTAAGTTATTTTTACTTAATAAATTATAAGCAAAAATTATATCAAACAGTATGATATAAACTCCAAAATTAAAATAAATTGCCTAACAAAAAAGTTAAAAAATAAAAAAAATAAATTTTTACCAACTCTTCAAAACATTCCATAATACACCTAAAACATGTACTAAGATGCACACATATTTAGGAGTAGTTTGGCATCCCCTGTATAATTCATCATTTTATCTTTTTCTCATCACATCACTTCTCTAGCTTTCTGCACATCTTTTCATAAAAAGATAAAAAATACACGTATTTAGATCATTTCAAACAACCCTTTACTTGTGTGGGTATTTATAAAAAGAATAAATTATATTTTATCCCTTTTATATTTAAATATTTTTTTACTTTAATTTTTTACCTTTCAAGTTTTTTTTTTTCTCTTAAATTTAACTTTTGTTCAAAATTAAATGAAAAATATCACGTTAAATATTATATAACATAAAAAATATATTATTATTTTTAAAAATAAAAAATATATTATTATATTCAAATTTAAATTTATGTTAAATGTGTAAATTATATAAAATAAAATATTTTTATAACACATGAATATTAATATGTGATTTACTTTAACAATTAAGGCCAATACTGAATTATTTATGCTTGGGATGAATGTTTTGACCCATCTTAGACCACCTGATCACAAGTTAACCACGGTAATTTAATTATATATCCAATTGTTCATCAGTTCAGTTGTAACTTTCTTATTTCATTTTGTTTGTCTTTTGTTTTTGACAAAGAGAACGAGAATTATGTTTTTTTATTCTTTTTTATTTTTATATAAATACATTTGCTTGGTTTGGTTCTCAAAAATAAAAAATAAAGTTAATTTGATAAAAATAAATATTAAAAAAATATTTTAAATATTTAAAAATTATTTTTAACCTCTCAAAAATAAAATTATATAAAAATGGCAAGCATTTTCATTTGTTTCACCAAATTACTTATTAATTTTAAAAGAAAAAAAATTTCAAAAATAAGTTTATGAAGACTATCTATTTACTTCTATTTTTCAGATCATCAAAAGTTCCATTTGAAAATTAACAAACAAGACTCCATAAATAGCACAAGCCCCTTGCAGATCATATGCCTCCCACATACATATGCCCTTTCTGACTGCATATTGATGGAGGGGAGAGGCCATAATCATAGAGACTGGCCTGAATCCTTATTTATATGGTTTTACACCCAAAAAAATGGGGATAAAACATCCACCATAATTTCCATTAATGGCAAAACCAAATCCATCAATGATGAAATAAATAAACACTTCCTCTCTTTTCAACCTCCTTAAAAGAATAAGGAGAAACCCCCTCATTTTCCCAATACACAACTAGATTATAGATAGATAGATATAACCATAGAATTAAAACAATTCCTTCTAATAATTTAAAAAAAAAACAAAAAAAAACAAAACAAAACAAAAAGAAGAGGGGATTAAAAAACTATACAATCACTTTTAAAGCCCCACTTCAGCCCCACTTCACCATAGATAGATTTTACCTGGAAGAAACTGGGTTGAGAGCTCTAGCAATACCATTCATGGCACCATAACTCTTTGAACTAAAGCCTAAGCACCCAAGCAACCCTTGCCTGTACGGCAAGAACGTCTTCTTCCTCATCTCCTCCGACTGCGCCCTATTCGCCTTGTAGTGCAACTCATGCGGCGACGCCGGCACCCTCCTCTTCCCCACTCCGTTCGACGGCTTCCCATTGCCGCCGCCGGCAGCCTTCTTGTTCTTCGCCTTCACATTACCACCCTCAGATTTTGAAGAAAATGTGGACTCAGTCACCGGCGATGGTGTCGCAGCCTTCCGATCTTTCACCGGCGAGAATGAAATGGCGCTCCAGAACTTCTGACCGTTGTTCCTTCCTTCGCTTTTGCTTCTGTAGAGAAATTCTTTCAGGAACACCCACCGCTTCGAGCTCCGACTCACCGACGAGGATCTCGACGACGAAGCAGACATCGACGGCGTTGTTTCGCTCGACGAAGCCTCGTTTTGCTTGCTCTCGAGTGCTTCGATACCTAGACTAGTCTGCATTTTCTCAGATTTGTGATCTTCGTCGTCACTTTCGTGCCATTGAAACGAAGAGGATCTCAATGGCGACATAGATCTGGTTCTTCGGCGTAGAGATCTGTCCCGCCATTTCACGTCTCGTCCTCTCGGAAACTTGTCGGATTCATCCATCACATTCTCGCAATCGCCTTCGGTTTCCTCGAGATCTAGTAATGGCGCGAGCACCTGAGGCCGCTGGAGGTGCGAAGAGAGCTTCATCGGCCGGATCTGGCCGTTCAGGAACAGCTCGTCGGCCGAGATCATCGATCCGGTCGACGACGAGCCTACCGTCCCAAACCTAGCCGAAAATTCGAACTCGAACGAGCCCGGAACCGACGCCTCAGACACCGGAGTCGTCGAATTTGGAGACGACGTACACATCATGAAGTGCATTGGACTCGCCGGAGCACTGTAAAAGAATCCTCCGCCTCCGCCTCCAGAGCCACGGCCGGGGCTCGACGGAGCACTGACGTAAGGCGTGGAGCAAGTGCTGTCGATGTCGTCGGAGTAGATGTAGGGTTCGTGAAAGATGGCGGTTTTGCCATTGTTAGGGTCTTGAAGCTCTGGTCTGGAGTATGTGGCAACTCCGTTGCCATTGGTGGTGGTGGTGGTGGTGGTGGTGGTGGTGGTGAGGGCTTCAAACCCTTCTTCCATGTGTGTGTGTGTGTGTGTGTGAGAGAGAGAGAGAGAGAGAGAGAGCAGGTGTGTGTTGTGCTGTGCTGTGTTGTGTTGTGTGAGAGAGATTGATGAGGGAGTGGAGAGAGTGTGATGGTGATGGAGATTGCAGAGAAATAGACCGATAGAGGAGAGATGAGAGAAGGGGAGGGGCTTATTTTACGTTGTTTTGTTGTTTAAAATAATAACCTTGAATGTGTATATTTATAACGTCAATGCCACTATTCTATTCTATTCTATTGTCTTCTATTCTCATTGTCCGGACCCGATATGATGTGGTTAATCTATAACTCTAATTGCTCCAATGCCCCTATACTTTTATCTATTTCCATCGATTTTAGATTTATTTGAATTGTCCGAATTTATATATATCCATTGACACACCCGTCATTCAAGAGATCATCTGAGCAGATGCTGGTTTACATGTCGGTTGACAAAAGTGACAGTTACGATTGACAAAGGTAATGCTAGTCATCGAGGAAGTTGTCCGACCGATCAAGTTAAGTAATTCAGACGAACCCAAATTTGATGGATCAAACATTTTTGTTTATCTAAATATAGTATAATCCCAATAAATAACAATTAATTTTTTTTTGTTTATCTAAATACGGTATAATTCCAATAAATAACAATTAAAAAAAATTCAAAGGTTTAACGATTGTAATAAAATAAATCTTAAATTTTTAATTTTGTTAATTTAAACACTAATATTTTAATTTATTTTTCAATCTAGACTATTTGTCTATTTTCATTAAGTAAAATTGATAAAAAAAATAGAAATTTAAATATTTTATGTACATTTACATTGATTTTAACAGCTAAATACTATTTGTTGGTTTTATTTGATAGAAATAGACAAATGATTTAGATTGAAAATATATTTTAAAAAATTAAGATTTAAATTGATAAAATTAAAATTTTAATATTTATTTTGTTATAAAGGTTAAATTTTGAGATTTTTGTAATTACTTCTTAAAAAAATTAGTATTTAAAAACAACAATTTTAGTCCAATTAAATTTAATTAATTAGATATTGACATTTTAAAAGCATATGAGAAATCCAGCCAAATGAAGTATCATGGTCCCGTAAAAATAAAATAAAATCTCACGGCGTGTAGAAAATTGTACAAATCAAAGTAGGAAAATTTAGTCTAATCTCTCAATTTTGATGAAAATGATAGTCTAATTTATTTATTTTTATAAATTCCCTAACGCTGTGTTTAGTTGGAGAATTGAGAAACGGATTTAGAAATGGAAAATGAAAAGAAAAAAGAAAATGTAGGTGAAATGTGAATAAAATATATCTACATTTAACCTAGTTTCACACATTTTTTCCTTTTTCATTTTCAAATCTCTTCACAAATCCCCCAACCAAACACAGCGTAAGGAAAAAATACATAATTGAGTAAAAACAATGTAAAATATCTTTTCTTTTTTCTTTCTTAGATAATATTGCCAGACTAATATGTTACTGTGAACCAAAGTAACATGTTATTGTGAGACAGAATAACATGATATTGTCAAATAGAGTAATTGTCAAACAGAATAACATGTTATCGTGAGACAGAGTAACATATTACTGTCAAACAGAGTAACATGTTACTATTATTGTTACTGTTTACATCAATTTCAACAGTAATAAATATTTTTTTTAATAAAGAATTTCATAACCAATATGGATTTATTTGATAGATCTTGATTAGAAAATTTTAAAAATATTAATTTTATTAAAAATCAACATCTACATAAAAGTTACATTATTTTAAAGTTTAACATTTTGATAACAGTGATATTTGTTAGATTTTTCAAAATATTTTTTTTGTATTTATTCTTAATGCATTAAAATTTTATTATCAGAGGGTTTTGACCAAATCTCCTATCAAAATATTGTGTATGTGGATTTCTATGAATGGTAAATTATTCTTATGTCCTTTAAATTTGAAAAAAAATATAATTATTTTTATATTTTTAATATAATTACATGGAATCCTTTTTAAAGTTTAATCAATATAACCGTTAGATTTTTTTTCATTAATAATTCGTTAGTTATATGAATCAAAATATGTTGTCAGTATCCACATATCATTTGCATTAATTTAAGTATCTCTAGCCTTACTAAAGAGGAGATTAATATAATTATGTTAAAGTATAGAACTAAAGTTGCTTTTTGACTTTTTTGGCTTATTTTGAGAAGAAAAATGACTGAGGCCCCCAGTGGAGGTGACCCCAGCACCTCCACTATTTTTTCATTAGTTGGGAATTTTTTATTTTATTTTTTATTTTTTCAAGTCTTGCTCTCACAGGGGGCCATGTGGAGCTGGGGGTGCTGGGGGTCACCCCCCACTGGGGGTCCTAGCACGGTTGTTTTGAGAAATAGGTTAAAAGCTGATTTTTTGGGTTTTTTTTGAATTTTTTTTAAAAAATGTGTAACAAAGTAAAAAAGTGATATGACCTAAAAAGCCAAAAAAAAAAATGGCTTTTAACTCAGACGTTAAAATAAGCAATTTCCTTTAAATTTCAAGAGAGGTGAATATAATTCATATCACTTAAAATTAGTAATATGAGAGTGACTATTTCATATTTTATTATCAAAAATTACTTTGAGGCCTCGTTTAGTTATTCGGATTGGATATAAAGGTTTGAGGAGGATATGTAATACCTAAGGATAAAGATGAGATATAATATATCGTAAGATATGAGATGGATTATATATACTGTAGGGTTACTTATATTATGTTTGGTTAAGATTGGATATAGGATGAGATAAGAGGAAAGTAACAGTTTTTGACATTTGGATGAAAGATTTTCTATATCCGACGGCAAGGGATATACAATACCATGGGGGGTTAGTATTGCATATCCTCCCTTTTGGGGATATACTATCCAGACTTCCTATATCCGCAACAACCAAACACAAGATATAGGGAGACAAGAAAATATGTTAAACCCACCTCATATTTTATCTGATCCCCCCCCTTATATCCGCCCCTTATATACCCCCTAATGAACAAGACTTTAAGTTTTGCCTTGTTAGGGGTGGGAATGAAAATTTGGTGGTTTGACATTGGTTTTTTAGTGATTTTATTAGAGTTTTAAAAAATTAATATGTTTAGAAATTATTAACAAAAAATACTTTTTTGGTAACTTGTTAAACTCTTTTAAAACAAATTGGACTTATTAGCCAAAAATAATTTTTTTAAAATGATCTAAATCAGGCCTAGTGCATCTCCAACTCATTAAGCATATAGTGTTTGTTAGTTAAAATGTTTAGTGTAACCCATTTTTTTCAACTCCAATACACTAGGCATATGATTTGGTATTTTAGTTCAACTCATATTCACTATCTACATGTGGCTAGCTTTCAAAGGCTAGGCAAAATGTATATAGGTAAATTATTTATAAGTCATATTTGAAAGACTTATACAAGATATGGTCTTATGAAAAAACTTGTAACCCAGTATGTCTTATGATTTTCTTGTGGGCACATTTACCCCCAATTTTAATTAATTAATAACTTGATTAATGATGATACCATATATAAGAAATTCAATATTACCATAGATTGTAATCATATCTATATGGTTAGAAATTTAAAATTTAAAATAACCTAATTAATGACAATGCCATATATAAGAAATCTAATGTTACCATAGATTGCGATCATATCTATATGGTTGGAAATTTGAAATTCAAAACGTAAATGTAATATATAACATCACTAACCCAACGTGATATTCTCATGTGCTTATGAAATTCAAAATAACTTGATTAATGACAATACTATATATGAGAAATTCAAACCATAGATTGTGATCATATCTATATGGTTGGAAATTTAAAATTCAAAACATAAATGTAACATGTAACATCCCAAACCTAATGTGGCATTCCCAAACCTAACGTGACACTCTCATATACTTTTCATCCCAAACCCAACGTAAATGTAACATGGAACATCCAAAACCCACTGTGACATTCTCATATGCTTTTCATTCCAAACCCAACGTGGCATTCCAATACTCCACCGTTGAGTTATAAATAATGTAACCTTTTAAATGTAACATGTAACATTCCAACCTAATCCATGTATTGAACCACCATAACCTCTAATCCAGCGTAACTTCAACATCAAGCGCTGAGATTCAATCCGCATTCAATTACAAACCTAAATCCTCAATAATTTTGTGCAACGTACTATGACATGTATGTAAACACTGATTACAACAAAGACATGATACATATTCAAATACATATACAACCGAACAAGCACACAAATGTCATCTTATACATGGTGTATGTGGATTAACATTACATACTAAATGTAACATGTATCGTAACATGATCATCTAGGTCCTAATGTATAATTGCCATCCTACGACATGGTTCACATTCGACATCCAATTAACAACCAAAACCAAATACCCCCAACCCAACCCTTGTACCCATACACACCACCCCACACATCGAACAAATCAAAACGCATCAACCATCATAATTGTCACGTCCCAAACTCGTCCCTAAAAGTTTGGGCATGACCTATTCAGAAGTGGACACTTAACCTGTTATATATAACATACGGGGCCTGAACGGAAGCATTAAATATTATAAAATATCATGAAATAAAAAGAAACTACATCCATTAAGCGACCATTATCATGCCAGAATCACAAACAGTGCATCAGATAATAAATATTTACATACACTTATATACCCGCCCCTTGTTTGGGCGTACCACGAAACATAGGAACTTCAACATATTCTAGATATCAGAGTACAAGCCAAAACTTAGCGAAACTCCACAAAAATGGGCAGGCTTCATCCAAATGCCAGGACACACAGAGGCTGACAAAGGGAGACGAACACCGAGGGTTAGGGCTGACCTCCCGATTTGCTACCTACAGAATCAGACAAAATACAGAGTGAGACAATCTCAGTGAATAATAGTACTTTAATAATTCGATGATCAATTTGAATTACAATGCATAACAATGCGTATATAATGCAAAATACATGTAGTTAATCTTATCCTGTAATTGTTTCCAGAACAGCCTTGGGCCCAATCTTCAAACAGAATGGCTTTACGTCCTTGAACAGAGTGGCATTGAGCCCTTAAACAGAGTGGCATTAAGCCCTTTTCATGCATGTATGAACTAAAGAGGTGTCTCGCACGGATTCTAGAGGT